AGCTCCTAAAGCCAACAGGCCAGAGCGGACAAACCAGCTGCTTTGCACAAGCACTGGCCCCATTCCTGCCTGTTCCTCGCCTGTCTTTACTTAGCTTGCAAGACGCACGCAGCAAAAACCCCGTTTGCAACCAGAACAAAGGCCAACAGGATCCTGTTCAGGGCTTCCACGCTTTCATGCAAGACGACAGTAGGCTCTCTGTGTCAGCTGAGAATCTGGCTCAAATTTGACAGCATGGAAAACATGCTGTCAAATGATATCCTTTAGCTCTTCACTTCTCCTGCATGTATTCCATAGGGCATTGGAAAGAGCCCACTGGACACAGGAAAGTAAAAACAGCATGAAAAAGCAGCTCTCTGGGGAAAAGACCATGGAGCATCACTCCTCCCCACGCAGCRGGAAAACAGCTTCAGGGATCCCAATCATTATATGGAACAAGAGGGATTAAGTGCTATTGCATAAACACACGACATGGGTTACTTCTCTGGAGCGAATGCCAAATCCCTCTTCTCAGATGCATGGAAAAATCGAGGTCAGTTCCGTGTGCAGGAAGCACTGTCAGTGCTGTTGCCGTTTCAACACTCATTAGTTCACGGCTAAATCGGAGTATCTAGACGTCCGCACACGTGATGCATCCCTGCATCCCTGCCCTCCTCTTGCAGCTACAGGGATGGAAGAGGTCCAGTGCMGAATGAGGCGAAACAGACACGAACACGCGCCAAGGACCAAGCAGCTGCTTCTGCTGCACCGGCGCCCGGGGAGCCCAGGGGATGGCAGAGACACCGCGGCCGGTCCAGCAAAGCCCAGCACCAAAGGGCTGCAATTCAGGCTGGTGCTCGGCAGAAGCASAGCCAGCCCTGGGAGGCCACCCTCGTCCTTACAACCACTGCAGGCAGCTCCAGGAACAGGGGTCTAATGGACTTAATGGTTTTTAAAGCTCAGGAAGAGCAGCTCACGATGGGGGGCATCCAGCCCCATGTACGRAGGGACTTTCTCAGCATGGGCGCTACGCCCGCGCTGAACCAAAGCGACAAACACGAGCAGGAAGCTGCAAGGTAGGAGGCAGCAACGCAAGCGCGGGCTGGCAAGGAGGGCTGCAGGGTGCAGGAGCTGCCAGGCAGCTGCACACGAGAGCAGAGGAAGGGCTCCAGGTACTTCTGTGCTTCACTGYCTTGGCAACAGGATTCAGGGAACCTGCTCCCCCTATAAACCAGAACAGGCTTTTATACAAGTGGACATCTTTGCATAATTGCTAGAAAATTAGAACTCATTTGTTTGCTGAAGAGGAACTACCACSAGCTGCTAAAAAGGCAAAAGGAGCYGTATAATGCAGCTCAGTGTGCCCCTGCTGCAGAGTTCCTCTTTTACGGCTGCTGCTGGGTGCAAGAAGAAACCAGTCTGAGGTTTCCCTGCAGAGGAAGGCAGCGCTGGGTACTCTGGTGAGACCCTGCAGTTCTGTGGTCACTGCCCTTGAACTCTAAGTACTTGTTTTCACTTGCAGCTCTTCCACGAGTTCCTGCACAGCCCCTGCTGCACCGTCCCCTCTGGGTCTCCTGCTTTGGCCCTGTTCAGACCCTGCCAGGACAGGAGCAGGTTTGATGTCACGCTCACCAGATGCAGAACTCACTACAAGATGACTTCATGTTACCTGGTGGGTCTCAGTGTCACCCCTGGCCAAGTGTCCTTTGTCCCAGCCTCCTGCCCGGCCCCTTCACACWTTCCCAACCTCACGCTGCTGCAGGGGGGCTGACTCCGCTCGCTCCACCTTCATTCCCAAAACACAGAGGAGAGGAAGCCCGCGAGACTATTTCGTTCTAGCACTTGAATATTCAGGCCGTAATTTTGAAGCCAACTCCCTCCAACAGGAGCAGAGTAGTTAACACTTTTAAACCCCTCAGCCCTCCTGCATATTAGCCGCATGTTTAATAGCAGAGTAAAGCATTAGGAAGCAGGCTGTGGCTCCCTTGAAGCTCCCCTTCATCTTCTAAGCCTCCCAAGACAAAGACTCACAGCCCTGGTGCATATTCTCCATGTTATTAGGGTAACTGCTAGTCAAGTTCAAAAGGCTGCTGCCTTCCAAGTCACCAAGTCAGAAAGAGCTGTAATTTTTTCTCACTATAATTTCTTTCCATGATTATAACAGTGGCCGAGTCAAGCAGCTTCGCTCCACCACAGCAGATAGCCRCTTTTGGAGGGGGCAGAGGGAAATGTGTCACAGCTGCTCAACACAAGAGCAGTTCTCTCAAGGACATTAAACAGACTGCAGCATCAGAGGGTCAGTAAATGCACATTGCCCAGCTTTGTCCTTTCTGAAGGGTTAAAAGYTCAGGAAGGATATCCTGCCTCTGCTAGAGTCAGGGAGCTCTACCATTGACTTTGATTTGATCCATCACGATTAATAACAGAGCAAACTGTTGCAAGACTTTGAGAGCCCCCTCTGTTCTCCAGCACTATATATCCTCTCCAATAGCTACAGAGGCAGTTTTATATACTGCGTTATTTATCCATTTCAAACTGGAACAAAGGCAGCTCAAAAGGCCTSAAAATATTGATGACTCCGTCGATGAGAAAGAGTCCTTTTTGTAGGGCAACTTCAAACAGAGTCAGAGGCCTTTTCCAAGGCTCTGAAAGGACTGTTTCCATTTCCATGGCATTTACAGGGAAAGCTACCCTAGATGAGCTTGAGCCTAAATAAATATCCTTCTCTGCTCCAAAGTCTTCTACAGATCATCCTGAATTAATCTGTTCAACCTAATGTCCAAATACTTCACTCTGACATTTCAGAAGGGCAATAATCCAAACTTTTTCTGAGTAAAGTTATCCTAAAACAGCGTTGTTTGCCTTCTGCCATTATATCCACTGTAAATTTGTTTTAATACAGCTACAGAAAAGAATTATACAAACTCCTGTTTCAGCAGTGCAAGCAGTGAGCAACCTAGAGCAGGACTGGAGCTTCACAGGGGCCTCTGGGTCACAGCACAGTAAAGGATATCCTTGGAGATGATCAATGTTAAACCCCTCCCCGTCATCCCAACTGCCTACGGGAAAAGCTGGGAAGTACTGGACTGGAGCCAGGTCTGCTCTGCACCAGGATAAACCTGCCCTGGTCCCCACAGAAAACTGCAGTACTCCGTTTGATACCCACTGAGAACCGATTCGCCCATCTCAGCACGTTCCACCTCCGAATTTACTTGCGAGGAGAAGGGAAGTAAACACAAACAGGCCTTGGAAACAATAGGTTACATTCCTAAACTTGCATGCGCTTCCCTTGGATGAGTTCACGGGAGAATTAAAGGGACAGCACTCAATTGGAGCCCAAAATTAAGCTTGGTGAAACCAAACCAGACATACAGGGCAAGTTCCTGGCACTGACAGTGCCAAAATCCCAAGTTCTTCTGTTGAAGCCAGGATTTCATATGGCCTCACCTGGTTAGGGTTATATTGGTTTTGTAAGAACCAATCTAACCTTTTTTTTAATTAATTTTATTTAAATTTTTATCTATTTTCATTTCCCTGGAGAAGAAAAAAATTACATGAAACAAATATTTCCATACAATGGCTGTAAACAGCCTCAAAGTGTCCTCCTGAAAATATATAACAAACTAAAGTGTGAAGCTGACTAATCCATTTCCTTGCCCAAAATGAGGGACATGTATAAAACAGAAAATGCACAGAGCAAAGGAATTTGTAAATAAATTATGCAAAGCATTACTTAAAGCATGAATGAAGTAAGCAATTTTTAAATAAAGCTCGTCTCCTCAAGGCTGAGCTTTCCAAAAGAGCCAGAGGAAGGGAGGCACACGGCTGGACACATCTGCACGAGAAGCACAGCCTCTTCTGAGAGGTCTCAGGCTCAGTGCTCGCAACGCACCGTGATGTAAACGCTAAAGCACCATTTCCAGGTTGCAATGTTATGAATCCAGTTCATTAAACATCCTCCCACTTATAAGAAAAGGAAAAATGCTGAAATCAGACACAGCTCCCACCTTCCTTGGGAAAGATCAAAGGCCACCCACCAAGAACATGTTAGTGAGGGCTTCTGCCTGCCTCCTGCTGGAAAAAATCCTTAGGGATTCATATAATTCTGCTTAGAAGAGAACAGCTGAGAAGACATAGGGAGCATGTCCAAAGCTTTGAAGTCTAGTTTTATTATTTATCCCACTTTCCACTGTTCAGCTCCTGTTGCTGAAACCCACCCATCAAAAACATCYCTGTTATCCTGAACAGTGGAGCTCCTCTCCTTGCTGCTACTCATTAGGAAGGCACTTCCCATTAGGAGGTGACCACATATTTTGGTATCCTATTCCCAAACACTCTAGAAGGCAAGATGGCAAAGGAAAAAGGGCATGAGACTACGGGAGCACAATTCTGTTTTCCAGCTCAGCCGTCTGTCTGTTATTTTGAGATACTTTCATTTCCTGGTTCTTTCTTCCTCCAACAAGAGGATGTGAGGACAAAATAAACAATGTTCACTTTATTAGTAGAAAACCCTGCAGCCGAGGCTGGGTATGTAAGATTGCGCATTGAATTCCCTAAATAAGCAGCCCAGTTTTCAAGGCACACTTATAGGCTGTTGGCATCAACTTGTTGGGCATGAATGATATGATGGATACCCACCCATTTCCAGACAACCCTTGTAAAGCAACCGTCCCTTTTTCTATGTATATAGCTAGTGTTTTTCTGCAAATGCTGAGCTCTGCAGGTGGAAGCACACAAGTCTCTTGCAGTAACTGTTATCACAGGGAAAGGCAGCAGAGACTCTGCAGTTATTACCAGAGTCAAAGGTAAGAGCAACACTGCTTTCAGCAGAAGCCAACTTGAGGTTGATCTGGTAAAGTCACAGAAGCAGCAGCAATCTCCCACTGACAGTATTCAGTTCAAAATACCACGTTACTTACATAGCACACAATTTCTATGCTCACGTGAGTGGGAGAAAGAGTTTTCTTAGGAGAGGGTTACAGAATGACAACAACAAAGCAAACATCAAGCAGGCAGCTTACTGATCATGGTGGTGCCCCCCGCCAGCGAAGCCTTGGTGCCTTGGAAGAAGTCATCGGCCGATGTCATCCCCTGTTCTGGCATCTGGAAGCGGGTGTGAACGTCAATGCCCCCTGGAATCACCATCCTGCCATGGGCTTCGATGGTTTTCACTCCTCCTGGCACAATCAAATTCTCTCCTATTTGCCTGGGGAAACATGTTTCAAGGAGCAAGTGAGACACAAACAACAGCCAGGGCATGGCAAACAGGACAGTCTATAAGCCTACATCCTTGTGCTACTTTTTTCTCCCCTCCCCAAATAAAACAATGAAGAGGATCAGCATATACAGCRGATACGTTGCTCTTCCACCTAAGGCAGCTGCATAATCTGGAGCAAAGCAAGCAACTACTTCAGGACCAGGGGAAACATTATCCTTAACASGAAGGAAAGAGCAGGACCCACTGGCAGGCAGCTGGACAAGGAGCCATCCCGATAATGAAGCCACCCGGCGCCAAGCGGAGCAGGCACCTTGCAGGCAACRGGTCTGGGACGGCACCGCGTTTGCCGAGCGGCCGGGCAGCTCTCGGTATCAGCGATAACAGCAATTTAGACGCTAGCGCCGTTTGGAAAGCACGGCAAATATTTCTGCTCTCTCTCGCCTGCTTCGTTCCTTGCACAAACATCATACATTCCCTGCACAAATCTAAGCCCGTGCACATACTGTTTACCAAATTCCCGATGAGATCTCACCACACCCCCTAAATTCTCCAGTSCAGCTCTCAACATAGATTTATTTCCAGAAGTGCAACAATGGAGAGGGCATTGCAATTAATTTGGGGACTTTAGTTGGCTCTTTTAACCTTGATTAACAGGCATATATGCCAACTATAGAGCCAGAACGGGAAATTTCCTTGTTTGTAACCTCCTGCTCATCCTTTTTTTTTTTTTTTCAGAGGGTAATCTTCCAATGAAATTTATAACATACTTAACATGCCGCACTTAAAACTAAAGGATCCTTTTAACTTTAAGGGGTTTGGGATTGTTCCCTGCACCAGAGCCACAGAAAATGCAGCTGCAAGAGACCTCAACAAATTATCGAATTCTAAACCCCTGCCCTAATGCAGAATTAGGTGTATTAGGATGTTAAATTATTTCCACTTCAGAGTTTAAGTCATTATTCAATGAAGTATTATAGCACATAGATAACTTTAAACATATGTGTAACCTCAGCACAGGACAATTTACATGGCTAAAGTTAGGCACATTTAAGGACCTTCTGGGATCCATGCTTCAGTAACAAGTTTTGGGTTGGTATTTTTTCCTCCTATTTATTTAATTCAACATCTTGTTTGTAAAAATTTTTCCAACACCAGCACACGTGTGAGATATTCATTTTTCTTTGCAATCAAGTAGATCTGAGACAAAGTTATTCGTTTCTACTCCACAGTACATTTCCTACATTTCCAAGCACAACGTGGTATGAAGCTTCACTTACTTTATCAACCCATCTTCCATGTAAATGTCTGCATAGAAAGACTGGTCATCATTAACTATTTTACCACCTTTGATCAAGAGCCGATCACTCTGAAACAAAGAAGCACACAACAACACATGATTATTCTGCGAGAAAACTGACAGGCTGCAGCGTCGCCTCCAAGATAAAAGAGTCGAGATGGAAACAAGCTCTGCATTATTCAAAAGTGCATGTCAAAACGCCAGTCAATTGCTGCACTTTCAACTGTAAAGATAAAGTATGTTATTTCATCTGCAAGTCCTTTCATCATGCTAATGATCCAGAGAAATCAGAACAGAAAAACAGTGTTCAACGGGCTTCGCTGCTCCACTCATACCTGCAGCCTCCTAAGATGGCACCATCATCTCCTGCTGCAGAAGCACCACAGAAGAGCCACGTCTCTGCTCTGCTTTTGCCTTCTGCATTTTCCTACATGCACCCRAGTCACTATTTGGCTAAGGAAGAGTCAACTGCTGTCAGGGAAATGGCTCAAAAGTCTGTTGCCACGGGCTACACAACACAAACAAACTCATTTTGCCCAACTTCGCAGCGTTTCAATGCGGCGGAGGCCTCTYCTGCCGGCCTGGGTCATTATGCGCAATCAAACAAAGCAAGCACATATTAGCAAGTTAAGAAAGGGAGGGAAGAAAAAGTGTTATTGCATTTCCCTCCAATTAGAACGCAATTTAGCRGGAACAAAAAGGTAATTATAACAARGCAGCTATCAAGCAATGTGTTTTATAGCTCAGCTCAGGTTACATCTCGCCTTCTCAGCTATTTTAGGTCAAAACCAGTTTTAATTTTTGCGGTCCTCCTGCACAATAGCAAAACACATTCTGGAGAGCTCAGGATAGGAGGAAGTCAAACAAGCACCCAGCGGGTTCCTTTGGTTCCTCTGCTCCCTACGCATGCACAGACTCAAATGGAAACACACACACATTCACGGTGACCTGAATTTATAGTTAGGGCAAATACACATTATGTTACAGTGACAGCAGCATTCAGGAGCCCTCCTTGGGATCGGGGCTCCGCTGCTCAGACAGAAGAAAAGAACTGGGCGTTTTCCCAAGGCGCCTGCTTTAGAACTCAAGGAAGAGCTGGAGCATCAGATTCAAAACTGACGTAAGCTAACATGGCTCTAAAAATCAGAGCGTCTACGAGAATTGCATCAGCTACCGATTTACACCTTTATCTCCCGTATAACCACAAAATATCTGAGATGTTCAGTGCCTCTTGCTCCTCCTTTGCTTCTCTCCTTTCTGCTGCTGCAAAAAGGAGCTTCCCYGCATGAAAGCACCAGTGTAAAACACAAAGAAAAATTCAAGATTTACATTTAGGAGCTGCTGTGAATGCCAATAAGCCCGAATGAATTAACTTGGGGCATGAAGAACGCGCTCGTCTTTCAATGCCAGACTGCACAGCAAGCTGCCCTGCGCATTTACCCCTTCCAAAACCACTGCAGTGTTTATGCCCATCTCTACAGCAGGCTTCGTGTGCTATTAAAAAGGCCTGCTGCTATTAAAATCGGATGCAGTTTTGTCATCGATGTCAATAACAGCAGGAATAAATCCGAATCCACCAGAAATTAACCGCAGACGAGAAAATTATTTATAGCGACCAATAAAAAYGGGCCCTGGGCCATTTTAACGATGCTCCAAATGCTCCCGCTAGTAAACAGCTCTCCTGCTGCAGCTCCGAAAATGGGGGGAATCTGCAGATTTCAGGCACCTCGGAGACAAAAGCACACGCAGTCTGCAAGGGTCTGACACCAAATGCGTGTGCGTTGAGCGCGCTGCTGCGGCTTAAACGCGACCCCCGCGCAAAAGAGACCCTCTTCTTTGAGCGGGTGGATTCATTGGGGGYTTGTAGGGGGGCGAACACGCGAGGTGCGCGGGGCTCCGCGGGCCGGGGAGGCTGCGCCGCGCCCTGCGCAACCCCCGCGCAGCGCAGCGCAGCGCAGCCCCCCGCGCAACCCCCGCGCAGGGCGGGACGCGGCGCCGGGCGCGGCTCCGGCGCAGCCCTCGCTCGGCACCATCTGCCCTGCGGCACCAGCAGCAAGAAAAATAAATAAATAAATAAAAATAATTAAAAACAAAAAAAAAAAAGAAGAAGAAGAGAAAGGAATAAAGGAGAAGGCGCGCTCGGCAGCTGCGGGCATCCGCAGTACCTGCCCTGCGGCAGCGCCGCAGCAAGGCGGGGGGGGGGGGTTACATAACGGCTCCTGCCCCGTTCCCCCCGCTCCGCATCGCGCCCAAAGGCGCCAGGAGCTCCCGCGGGAGCCGCCGCCCGCCCGCGCTGCGGCCGCGGCCCGGCCCGGCCCGGCCCGGCCCGGCCCGCGGCCCCGCCGCGCACAAAGGGCTGCGCCCGCGCCCGGCCCCGCTCACCGTGATCCGCGGGATATTTTTCTTGCCCTGATAAGACATGTCGGCCGAGCGCCCTCCGGAACCTCTCTCAGCAAGCGGGGCGGCTGCTGCACCGCTATTGTTCCCTGGCGGCGAGCGCTTCGCTAGCCTCTCGCCACGGAGGGGGGGGGAAATAACAAAAATAACAAAAAACAGCCCAAATGCGAGAAAATGCTCCTGCAGGAGCCGCGATGGCGAGGAGGGCGCGCGGGGCGGGAACGCTGCTCTCGGCAGCGGCAGCACAAGCAGCCCGCCCTGCGCCTCTGCCTTTCTTCGCTCTGCTGCGAGCCCGACCCAGCCCAGCCCGGCCCGGCCCGGCCCAGCCCAGCCCGGCCCTGCCCAGCCCGGCCCAGCCCCGCGCGCAGGGAGGGGGGCGCGCCCCGCCGGCGAGCCACAGCCGCTGCGCATGCGCGCCCCGCGCCGCTGCCTCCCCGCTCCGCAGCAGGGGGCCGCACAGCTCGGGGCGCCATTGGCTGGGAAGCTGGCGGGGATGCAAATGAGCGCCGGCCGCCGGCCAATGGGGAGGGGCCGGGATGCAAATTGAGGCAAGGAAGACGTCAGTGCGGGCTGGGGATGCGCGCTCCCGCAGGCGGCGGCGCGCGCCGGGGGCACCGCGCCCCCCCCTCCCCCCGCCGCGGCCGCCGCCCCTGCGGAGCGGGAGCAGCGGGAGCCGCCGCTGCGCAAAGCGGAGCCGCCACCCCCGGCACCTGCGGCGGGGCCCGGGCAGCCCGAGCCCCCCGTGCCCGGCCCGGGGCTGCGCGCCCGCGGCAGCAGCGGCCGGGCCGCGCGGGAGCGCGCGGCGCTGCCTCCATCTTCTTTGTCCCAGCCCGCCCTTGCTGGCGCAGGAGCGGAGCTGGGGGGGGGAACGCGAAGCCGCCCTGCAAGGCGCCTTCCCCGCGAGCAGCCCGCGGGGAGGCGGCCGCGGGGTCCCTCGGCAGAGCTGCGGGCGCGGGGGGCACCGCGCAGCCCCCAGGCTCCGCGAGGCAGCAGCGCATGGCGGGCGACAGGGCCGGAGCAGCTGTGCAGCCTGCAGCTGC